GTAATTTCATTGTGCTCTGTACAATGACAATAAAGGTATATCTTATCTTATCTTATCTTATCTTATCTTATCTTATCTTATCTTATTTCATATATTAAAAAATCTGGTGTGCAGTTGTATCAGATAATTAATGGAGTATGGCAGGTCGTTGTGTCATAGAATTAAAAATATGGTAGGCTGTTAAATCATAATTAACAAGGTATGGCAGGTTGTGATATAATAATAAAAAATATGGCAGGTCGTTGTATCATATCTTTAAAAATTATGGTCCTTGTAACATAATAAAAAAAATTACAATACATTTGTTCTTCAATTTCAAATAATTTGTTTTCAATTTCAAAATTTCTCTTTTAGTTTAAAAACATTTTTTAAAACAAACTTAATGCCCCAATTTGCTCCATATATTAGCAACACAATAATCTCAGTTCACAAAACAAACGAAAGCAACTAAACTTCGAGGGGAAAAAATACATTAATTAGTATTTGAAAGTAAGTTTTAATCATTGCATTCTGTTTTTATTAACATTTTACACAACGTCCCATTTAATTTTGAATTGAGGTTGTAATTACGATGAAATCACTAATTGTTTAATGTGTTTTAACAGAAAAAGCTCCGCCTATTTGGACAAAGCTCCTCCCTGGAGCTCAGTCTGCAGCCGAACTCCCGCCCCACAGAGCACCCCTCCCCTGAAGCTTTGTTGCGAAAACGTACTGAAGTGGGAGTGTCAGAAACGGTAGGAAACAGAGACTAATTTCAAGGTGTGAAGGTACCATAGTTACTTGATAGTGGTCCACAGGAGCCTAAAGGGGTAACTAAAGTCACTGCTGGGTACGTTTCTTCATGTAAAGCAGCTTTACCTCAGATAAAACCTCAGTTTGACTAAACTCCACCCTGCGATGAACAGCAGATGAAGGGTAGGGGGTGACGGGTCACTGGTGGGCAGGCAGACAGTCAGACAGACAGATGCAGCCAGAAAACATGGGAAAGGAAGACTTACTAACTGTTTTTGTCCCTTGTGGGAGGGTGCAGCCCGACACGGACTTGTTTGAGCTCGGACGTTTAGAAGGGTCAAGAGTGACCCTACGAGGCAGGAGGAAGAAAGAAGGCAGTGAAGTGGAGGTGGGAGGAATGGAAAAAAGGAAAAGTTAAAGAGTCAAGAGAGACATTTAATGACAAAAAAAAGCAAGAGAGAAGGGAACAACAGAACGACAGATAAGAGAACGAATTAAACAGAATGCACTGTAGTTCTGGGGGAAAAAAAGGGACAGAAGATTGGAAGGTGACTGGCAAGAAAAAGCCAAAGTTGTTAAAGAATCAAACAGATAAAGCAACAATAAGCAGCCAAAACAAGAGCATCAAAAACATACAGTTAAGTCCTTCTGAGCAGCAGACCTGGGTCTAATAGTTTATATAGATTTAGCATCGCTCTAAACCCACCAGGAAACAAACTTCATATGTTAGCAAAATATCTCATGAGCGTCTGGAGAGGTTTAAATGAAATTTAACGTATCTGAACTGATTCAAGCCAATTAAGATGGCCACCACAGCCAGCTGAGCCTAAACAAACAAAAAACAGGGAAACCTTTATGAATTTCACTGATACGGAGCTAAACTTTGGCGTGGTAGTAGCTGAGGGTCATCCACAACACATACTCCCAAATACTAACAGGTTGAAATGTTTTATTCGACTAGAACAGCTTCAAAATAATCAAAGTTTTAAACTTTAGCTTGAAATGGGGTGGAATGTTAGGACTTCATTTCTTTTTTTATTTTTTTCTGGTTAAGTAAGCAGTGAGTTTTACGACTTACGAAAAACTGTCATAAATTGCCAAACGGAAACATGTAGAAATCTTCAACATGAGACATTTTCAGTCACATAAAAAAAAAAAAAAAAACGTTCACTCCCTGATAGCTGAAACTTTCAGTAAAAACTTGAAGAAATCAACCCGCATCTAAAAAAGCAACCAGAGGACAGGAGTGGGAATGTCTAAATAATAAAAAAAATCTTTAATGGGATCCACGATTAGTTGTAACATTAGATTTTATTTGATAAACATATATTTTAACTGTAAAATAAAGACTGTAAAAATACTGTAGGCTGTTTAGTTTTGTAAATTTTAAAAAATATAAAGAAGAAGAACCTCAGCTTAGCCTCTTAGCCTTTGTGCTAGCACCGACAACACTATATTGCCTTATGTATTAGCTCGGTGCTAGCGCGACAAACAAGCTGAACTGAGGTCCTCCATCCATATTTTCAGTTACAGGCTGAGTCCTTTTTGCGTTCTCCTCTCTGTCATGTGGATGAAGGACCTCAGTGACGAGAGGAGAATGTGTAGTGCTGAGCTAATACATATATGATAGCATCGGGGCTAATGCTAAAGCTAACAGGCTAAGCTGAGGTTCTTCTTCCATGAAGCAGCTCTGTTGTCCTCCATCCATATTTTCAGTTCCAGGCTGAGTCATTTCTACCTTCTCCTCTCTGTCAACGCKCTCTGGTTTCATTTAAAAGAGTCAATCATCAGATATTGTCCAAGATTAACCTTCAGGGTGGATATAGCTCGCTAGCAGCCTCGCACCGAGGACCTATCCACGTCATCATTTATCTTTGGGTGTAAAATAAAATAGCTCAGTCCGTGTTAAAATATATATTTTAGAAATTAGTTAAAAAATTTACAAAACTAAACATCCTACAGTATTTTTACAGTCTTTATTTTACAGTTAAAATATATTTTTATCAAATGAAGTCTAATGTTACAACTAATCATGGATCCCTTTAATTTGAACAATTTAAACGATGTTATTAAACTACTATTAGATCCAGGTCTTAAATTACAGATGTGAAGATCTGAAGCTTGGTATATTGTGGGAATGCTGGTGTGTTAGTATTGGTTAAGGAAGAGACTGTGAGAGGCAGCAAGGTTAGCTAACTGATATTTATACCAAGAAATCATTCAAATCCACTATTTGTACAAAAATAAAATCCTTTCAGGAGATCTGTCTCAAAGCTTTAAAGCTAAACGGTTAAAAACGTTTGCAAATATGTCAGTGAACTAGAATCTGAAGTAAAAGGTTGTTTCTAAATGATGATATGCAGTTTATACGTTTATTTTCTAGTACATGAAACAGAAAACGTCTCTCCCAGGCTTCTCCTCTTACCTGCGGGTCAGCTTGGAGGTGAGTTTGCTGAGCAGGTTAGTGGTGGCCCGGGTCCTGACGTGAGGCAGCGGGCTGGCATCGTGAGACGAGGCGGGCGATGCCAGCGGTGTGTGGGAGGGGGTGCGGCGGTCTCTGATCTGCCCCCCGTGGAACGTGCTCCTCACGGTGGATCCCCTGGAGAGACAGGACGAAGGTGTGGAGGATGAGGAGGAGACCCCCGAGGCGCCGGCGATGCTGTGGGTCGATGGCGAGGCGGGAGGCAGGCGGTGGGATAAGGTACTAAAGAGGAGAGAGGAAGAAACCTGCTGTCAGGTTCTGGAGTCACAAGAACTACAGAGAATCAGAGCAAAATATGTTTCTCAATTTTTTTTTTATCATTTCTAAGTTTCAGTAAAAAAATATTTCATTTAATTAAAAAAAGGGAAGTTCAGAAAGTAAGACTTTTATGTTTGTTTGTTGAAGTTTCTATGACTTGTTTTTTTCTGAAAATTATAATTTTTAAAGCATGTAAGTGTATTTACAATTTTTTTTACGTTATAAAATATTTATACGTATAAGTTTAGATCTCTGTAATGTTCCATGCATGGGTTCTATTTATGTCTTCTTATGCTACCTCTAGATTATCTACTTTTCCCTACTTAACTTTTAGCTAGCTCTTTGCTCCTTTTAGCCAGGCTTATGCTACATTTAGATTTTAGCTTATCTTTTGCTACCTATGTCTTTTAGCTTATTTTGTAACATTTATCTGCAAACTGGGCGTTTTGCAATTTTTAGCTTTATTGAACCAACATTAAGCTTTAAACTAGCTTTTTGCAACACTTGGCTTAAGCTGATCTTTTGCCAAATGTCTTTTAGCTTAATCGCTGCATTTAGCTTCAAATTAACCTTTAACAACATTTTGTTTTAGCTAATCTTTTGCTACGTCTTTTAGCTTTTTTGTAACCTGAAGACTTAAGCTAGCCTTTTGCTAAATTAAGCTTTAGCTAATCCTTTGCTATATTGATCTTTTAGCTTTTTGGCTACATTAAGTTTTAAACTAGCCTTTTGTAACATTTAGCTTTAGTTAACATTTTGCTACATTTAGCTTCAAACTAGCCTCTAGCTACATTTGTCTTTTAGCTTTTTTTGCTACATTTAGCTTCAAACTAATCTTTTGCTGCATGTCCTTTAGCTAATCTTTTGCTACATTTAGCTTTAAACTAGCCTCTTGCTACATTTGTCTTTTAGCTTTTTTGCTACATTTAGCTTCAAACTAATCTTTTGCTGCATTTGTCCTTTAGCTAATCTTTTGCTACATTTAGCTTCAAACAAGTCTCTTGCTATATTTGTTTTTTTTTAGCTTTTTTGCTACATTTAGCTTCACACTAACCTCTTGCTACATTTGTTTTTTTTAGCTTTTTTGCTACATTTAGCTTCACACTAACCTCTTGCTATATTTGTTTTTTTTAGCTTTTTTGCTACATTTAGCTACAAACTAGCCACTTGCTACATTTATCTTTTATCTTTTTTGCTACATTTAGCTTCAAACAATTTTTTTTGCTGCATTTGTCCTTTAGCTAATCTTTTGCTGTATTTTGCTTTTAGAGAACCTTTTCCTAATTTTGGCTTGTAGGTAGAAATTTAGCTTACTTTTAACTAGTCTTACTACATTTAGTGAACCATTTGTTTCTTTTAGCTAGCTTTTTTGCTACTTTTAGCTTTTAAATAGCAATTTTCAACTTATATGTATAATTTTGCTACACGTGGCTTTTAGCTAGTATCTGTTGTAGTTAGTGAGTTTTGGCTTCTTACAGCAGTCTTTAAGCTTTTAGTGTTTACTGCTTTTTATACAGAAAACATATTTTTGTTTCTATTCTTGTGTAAAATCTGAAAATGCTTTAAAGAATTGTTTGTTTTTAATAGTCGCCACGCTGACCAAAGGTTGGTCTCTAATCTGATCTAAATTCTTCCTTATGAGCGTTTGTGTTCCATCACCTCACATCTGAGTACCTTACCTTTGCTCGACACACACACACACACACACACACACACACACACACACACACACACACACACACACACACACAGGTTGCCTGAGGCTGCTTTTCATAACGCTCTAGATAACACCCACACACAGTTCAAGTGGGACAGATCCATTAGATGAGTTAAGTATAAAAAGCAGCTGTTGCTGAGTAAAATCATTTAACGTCAATAGAAACTGGCTGTCCACTAAAACTCACTGTGGGGGGCGGGGCACCGGAGTTGGATGGAGTCAAGAAGACAAGTAAACAAAGAAGAGCTAAAAAAAATAAACAAGACAAGAAACAGGGACATGTGGAGACAGACTCTTTTTGTCTCTTTGTTTGGTCAGCATATTTGTGAATCTGATGACGTCATTCTACGTCAAATTCTGGTGTCGCAACATTTTTGTAGTTTACTCTCCCGTGCAACCAGTTTCATAAATTATTTCTACAGCAAGTCCTTCATGTTGCCTTTTTTACTTTCAATAAAAAATATTAGCTTCTGTGGGCTTGTTTGCTCATTCAAGATAGCTGCCACAGCTCAGCGTCGTCACATAGGTATAGATCACACAGGATCACATTAATTAAGGTGTAACTAAAGCTGTCATTTCTCAACATAAGATTAATCTAAATCTAAAACTTTGGCATCACTTCAATGGATCTGTATTTATTAGATAAAACCCTTTCAGCCCACATCCCTCCATCTGTTCAGATGTTTTTTTATCCAAGGTCAGACGACAGACAGAAACCGCTGAGAGACAAAAATCTCAGAGCCTTAAAGAGACACAGGGCTGGAAAACCACGCTGACAGGAATGAAAGTGAGAAAGTGACTGCAGGAACTAAAGGAGAGGAGCCGGAGCTCGTGATGTCCTGAGACTGAGGAGCAGACAGCCATCTGTCATAACAACAGACGCTTCGTTCTGAGGACAAAAACTCACAGATACACAAACACACTCATGCAAGAGGCTTGCTTTACAACACAAACAAGTCTGAATCCACAAAAGCTTAACATCATGAGAATAAAATGCAAGTTTGAAGAAAATAAATAAAACTTATGCGATTTATCATCTTAATGCAACATTCGCTTAAATAAATCTAAATCTGAGCATCTTTTTCCCACGTCCCCTCCTAAAACAAATGTTTTCATCACTCAGAGCCCCTGAGGCTGTTTACAAAGTTTAGGCACAAACTCAGGTGTAATTTCAAACTGGCACAACGCAGACAGCGGCACCGTTTGACAAATTAGCTCTTGGCTGTTTAACAAAGTGAAAACATTGTAGCTAAAGATTTATTGTGTTTATCATATTGACTTGCAATTACTTCAAACAAGTGCGTTCTAATCTTTTGTTTGTGTTTTTTTAAACTGGCAATACGGCTTGTTGAAGCTTGTGTAAATCACGAAAATATATTTGCATATAAGCTGTGATCCAAACACAAATAAATAGTGCCTGTGACGTGAATATCCTTCAAAAAAAGTCAAAGAAAACATCTTTATTATTAAGAAAATTGGTATAATACACGGGATTTGACGCATTTTGTGTACATAACTGGCATATTTTCTTTTGAATTTGACCAAGCTACAATGTAACAGGAAGTGACATCATGAGGGGATTTTTTAAGAAAAGGGAACTCCCTGGTGTGTGTTTATTGAAAGAATGTTATTTGAACTCTGACGCCTCATCTCTCCCTGAAAGTGACTCAAAATGATCTAAAAAACCCATCAGATTCTATTCTAGCACTGCTCTGTTCACATGAAGACATTATCCTCCTGAAGTCACTTCCTGTTACTTCTCCTGCTAATATTTCATCAATTCTTTATCTCAGCGAAGTGAATTTTTTAAAAATATGTCATCATAGTTATCATTCCAAAAATGCTAGTCTGTAAAAACCGACTAATTTATGAGAGCACACTGATGACATATTCAAAAATTAATTGAGTCTTTGCAGGTCAGCTGACTGTGGTAGCCATCTTGAATCAGCTGTGTTTTTCACCTCAAATTAAAATCTGTCCTGGGTTTCAGGAGATATTTTGCTAACAGCACAAACAAACGAAAGCATACCCAGAATCAAACGTAAGTTTTACCTGTTCTCTTTGCCGTTTTGAAGCAGAGTGTGTCTCTCGGTGCTCGTTCGATCCGTACACACGTAAGTGTTCCTTCGGGTCATGGCACGAGCAGGAATGTTGTTCTGGAGAAATAATAATAATAATCTGATTTAATTTTGAATGTGACACATCAGTCGTTTTTGGTACAGAGTTCTGGTTTATCAAACATTGAACAAAAATGGTTTAATTTAGTGAAGAAGTTGGTTGATTATAATATTTTACAGGTTATGTATAAGGCTCACAAATGTATATTACCTTTAAACAACCAATTAATGTTTGTTAAGAGAGAAAGGTCTTATAATATGAAGCGGGTAGATATGTTTGTGAAACCTGGATTTGGAACTAGTTTGAGGGAGCGGTGTACTTCCACACAAGGAATAAAACTGTGGAACAATCTGGAGAGTGATGTCAAAAGATCAATGTTAATGTTTAAGAGAATGATAAAAGTCACTTTGTTAAAGAAATATGAAACAATATAATGTGTATTCATACGAAAATTTGTTCAACAAGGATTCAAGGTTGTTTTTGTTTGTTTTTCTTGTTTGTAGATTATTATTGTTTAAAATTTTAATTTTGGGAAGAAAAAGGTGCAGATACTATAAGAGTTTTTTTCTTTCTGCTGCCTTTCATTTTATTTGTGATTTGTATTTTTATTTTATATAAATTTATTTTGTTACTTTTAAAGAAATTAATAAAGTTTGAAAAAAAAAAGAACTCAAACCCGTTTGCCTTCACCTGCAGTGCAGAACATTAAAAATGTAATCTCAATAATCTGAGCGCTGAGCATGCTTCATAGTCTACTGAAGTGAGGAGCTGTAATCTGAAGAAACTGGATTAGGCAGATTGAGAGGCCCCTGCCATCTGTACCTGGAGTACTAATCAGTCATGTCTCAAACCAACCTACCGTCGTTGAGTTCACTTCCTTGCGCCTGTCGGGTATTTCGGCTTTATTCGGGTTGTGGGCAGAGCTAACCATGGGGCTGGAGGGTGTCGGGATGCTACGGGAGCCCACAGTTGAGGCGCTCGGTTTGCGTATTGACAGTCGCTCCTCTTTAAGCCCCGCTCCTTCGCCGCTGGGACTTTGTTTGGGGTGAGCAGACCCTGGAGCCGCAGGACCACCTGAAATGGGCAAAGTCCAAGTTCTCAGACACGGAGAAGATGTCTCGCTCACTCTTTGATGTCACGTGTGAGCGTTGTTAGACAGTACATCCAGACTATTCCTTTGATGCTCTCAAATTCACCAAAACACATATACCACACTGGAATGACTGCGGATTCATGGACACCATCTTGGTAAGTGCTACACCGCTACATGTTTAATGTTTACATGTTGAAGCCACACATTAACACAGTGTGTGTGTGTGTGTGTGTGTGTGTGTGTGTGTGTGTGTGTGTGTGTGTGTGTGTGTGTGTGTGTGTGTGTGTGTGTGTGTGTGTGTGTGTGTGTGTGTGTGTGTGTGTGACAGAGAGAGATATATGCTGTCATCAGTTCAGAAACAAAGAAACAGCCTTATTTTTATTTCTAGATTTCTCTCTTTGACACGTAGCACCTACCAAGATGGCGGCACAAGCCTTTGTTTCCTTAGAAAAAACTGCACAGAAATTCCTGTCTTCCTGCTCAAAAGTTTAAAAACCAAAGTGCACTGTGTTCCAGACTCAGAATGTAAACCTACAGAAGTCAGAGTGGCGTCTCTGGCGGTGGTAGGTGGAGGCGCTGCGCTGCGGCTTGTGTCCAGAGGAAGACGGTGCACCGGAGGAGGAAGAGGACGAGGAGTGCTTGCTTGTTCCATTTGAAATGGTGCCGGGGCGGACTCGAGCTAGACTCAGACTGCTGGCTGATCGAGACTCGGTGGCCTCCGCCTGAAATGACAATAAAATAACTCGACTTCAACACTGATTGGTGTTTTTATAAAGCAATAACTCGGTCCAAACAAAGGTCCAGTACATGTATGAATTCATAACAGGCTGGGATACAGTTACTTCTATTTACATATAAAATCTCAACTCTTTAAGCATCCTCAGTATGTCGTATTTCAGTGGAAGTACTAAAAACTAAAAAGTCACCTCATTCTTGCGTCCGAGCAGCAGGTAGGTGGCAGTGATCTCGTTGTACTTGTGACTGATCAGAGACTCTCTGATCTCGTCTCTGCCGAATCCCATCCCAACCATCACATCTGGAAAAAAACAGTTTGGTTCTTAAAATCCCAAGAAGTGTCTCTTTTTAGTGATAATTATGAAGAAAAAAGAAAAGAAACCGGTTTAGTTAAAATCTAAATGATTATGTTGCAGACAAAGCCTGTTCAAAACCAAAATATTAACAACAGAAAAGCAGATTTCTGTTTTTCACCCTTTCCTTCTCTGCTGCTTTATCTGCAGATAGCCGACTCATTTTATAGTTAATATATTTATTTATTTTATTTTTTTTTAATTTATTTATTTAATCAGGGCAGTGTACATTAATGAACAATCTTATACTTGTGTATAAACTGTAAATGAGCCAGATTATAGCATAGTAGCTAATTTACATCTGTCCTCCTGAGGCAGGAAGACAAAACACCACAACACAAGATCACAATATACAATATCAAACAAAATCCAGGCACATATTCAGACAAATGACATTACAACAATAAAATTATTCAATGATTACATGACTGAGAACTTTTAAGAAACTGTTTAAGATACTTTTTAAATGTGAAATATTTGGGACAGTCTCTTATATTTGTTGGGAAACAGTTCCTAAAGTGTCCTCCTCTGACTGACAGGACAGTTTGTCCAAATGTTGGTTTCCTGTATGGGATCTCTAGATCTCCTCAATAAATAACTGAAACTATAAAAACGGTTCTCACCAACACGACTGGTATCACTGAAGTTCTCTTCAGGCTGTAAATGCGGCTTCAGCTCGTCGCCTTCATAACCAACATTAATCCACTTATCTCTCATTATTTGCTGAAATGTGAGAGAAAACGACTCATGAAGACAATTTTATCAAAATAAAGTTCAGCTGAATAAATAATCACTGACATTTATGGCTTATGTTATTGCAGAAGTGTTCATTAAAGATTCTGTTTACCTCCAAGGAGCAGCGCTTAGTTGGGTTGAGGACCAGGAAGCGGCGCAGGATTCCCTCACAGTCTGTGGACATGTAGAAGGGCACGCGATATTTCCCCCTTAAAACACGCTCCCGCAGCTCCTGGAAAAGAAAGCATGAAGCAAAAAGTACTATTTAAAAAAAAAAAAAAAAAACGTGGAGTCTTGAAAAGTAGAAAAGATAATAACAATGGAGCTGAATGTTTTAATGATTAATTAAAATAAGAGAAAGTATAAACTACTGCTTCAAGTGACTCACCTTTAGGTTCTGTCCATCAAACGGCAGCGACCCGCTGACCAGCGTGTACAGGATGACGCCCAGGCTCCAGATGTCCACCTCTGGGCCGTCGTACTTCTTCCCCTGGAAGAGTTCCGGGGCGGCGTAAGGCGGGGAGCCGCAGAACGTGTCCAGCTTACTGCCCTCCGTGAACTCGTTACTGAAACCAAAGTCGGCTATTTTGATGTTGGAGTCGGCATCCAGCAGCAAGTTCTCAGCCTGCAGGGCACAACGGAGATGAAGAGAATTTATTAACTTTTTATCTAATCAGAACTGCAAACAGTGTCCCACTTGTCATGAGTCAAACATTAACATGTGTTTACTTTGGGTAAGGAAAACATTACAAAAACATATTTAAATTACACACGTACACTTATCTCTTTAGAAAGATGAAAGTGGGATAATAACTTTACATCAAGGATATCAAAGAAATACACAAAAGGTTCGCATAATTAATAATATCTACCCCATTTCTGTTGTAGCTGTTTGCAAAATGCAGATAAATCATTTAAACTGACCTTTAAATCTCTGTGAACAATATTCTTCTGATGACAGTAGTGCACAGCTGACACGATCTGAGGGGAAATAAAATAAAGAAAATCATACAGGAGAAGATCTTAACACCTACTGTTTCTCTAACAAACTAGTTAAACAAGTAGGGGTGTAAGAAAATACTGATACACTGAAATATTGTGATATTTCATTGCCTGATACAGTATTGATTTTTATTCTAATAGAGGATGTAAGAAGAAATGTGAATATGAATGCAATTCTCACTGTTGCTCAGTATTCTTCTGACTGCATAAAAAATAAATGTGTACTTTATTTATACTGAGTTTTTTAAAATTAGAATCTTTTAGAGAAAAAAATAGCAATATATTGTCTTGCTTACTGTATTGCAATATATCATGATATATCGCAATATATCATGATATATCGCAATATATCATGATATATCGCAATATATCATGATATATCGCAATATATCATGATNTATATCATGATATATCGCAATATATCATGATATATCGCAATATATCATGATATATCGCAATATATCATGATATATCGCAATATATCATGATATATTGCAATATATCATGATATATCGCATTATATCATGATATATCGCATTATATCATGATATATCGCAATATAGCATGATATATCGCAATATAGCATGATATACTGTATATCCTATCACCAATTTCTTCTAATACACAGTCCTAATAAACAAGCAGCTTTGTTTTAATATTTAAATACCTGCATTGACTGACAAATCAAAAAAAGAAAACTCTGTAAAATTCAGATTTTAATTGAAACAAACTTATTTTTACGGGAAGTTTTACCAACCTGTCTGAATTTAGCCCGGGCCTCTTTCTCTTTCATTCGACCGTGAGCCACGAGGTAGTCAAAAACTTCCCCTGCAAAAACAAAAACAAGACAGTGAACAAGAAAATTCACCTGAAGCGTCACTATATACTCCCGACTGGATGTGGAACACCCTAACCACAGGGGGTGTAACAATACGATATATCGATTAAATGATTGGTATGGGATAAACTTGTGCCAGCAGGAACTGAATTTGAATTGCTTAGATTGAATCTGAATGTGCAGAATTAGAAATTGAACGCATTGGTTTGAAAACGATTTTTACTACTGTGATCCAGTCATGGATCACATATTGATCAGATGCTGCTACTGACTGATCCATGATGTGATGTAAATCTAACATTTTCTACATATAGGTAAAATTAATCACTACAATAAAATAACTTTGTCTGTTTTTGTCACTTTTACAGTGGATTGCATCAACTCTGTTACACACAGAAGGGAAACTTCACCAAAGTGAAACATAAATCTGTGGATCTGTGTTTGATTACTCTGCCTGGCTTTCTCAAGGACCAGGATGTGACACAAACATCTGAATTATGGAACTGAAAGTGAAAGTAGCCAAACAGAATTTTTAATAAACCAAAATACAGTTTCAAAGCAAATTAATTCAGATACAAAACTTTAAATTCATTTTCAAACCAATGCATTCAATTTCAAATTATGCACATTCAGATTCCATCTAAGCAATTCAAATTCAGTTCCTGTTGGCACAAGATTTATCCCATAGATTGATTTGATTAAATCGGGGTAAAATGAAAAAACTGATCCATACTGTTGTCATGTTATATATGTCCATCTAACACAACCCAAAGTATGTTAAATGGGAATATATTGCATCATATCGATCGCAGACTTTGCGATATTGAGAAATATTGTATCGTCATTGGAACAAATTGATATCGTATCGTGATAACTGATGATTTACATCCCTACTGATGAGATCAAGATTAGCAATCTCAAAAACCACATTTGTTAAAATAAAACCACACTGAGCATCACATAAGAGAATCAAATCTTTTGACCTCTCTTGTACTAAATTTGGCAAGGTTTTAAAATGTGTAAAACAGAGTGAAGAACATCAGCTGGTGAACTGTCATCTCCTTATTAGGTTGGTGAAGTTACAGACAGAACTTCACAAGGAGATTAAAAGATCACGGGGGGAGGAAAAGAAAAATAAAGAAAGCTTCAAAAATAGAAGAATGCATGTGAAGCAGCTGTGTAACAAAACAGCACAAAAATTAGAGCAAAGGGAAGAATTTTCCACATGTAAGGCTTCACTAACGAAAACAGTTTGTAGCTTAATATTAAGTTTGTTTAACTTTAAACAATTAAGAAATAATTAATCTAACTGGTTTGGTTACTCACCTCCACTAGCGTACTCCATAACCAAGTAAAGTGTCTTCTCCGTCTCAATCACCTCAAACAGCTGAACTGTTACAAAGAATGAGATGTTAAACAGATAATTACTAATTTTAAAACACATTAAACCATTCTCTGTGCTTTAACTCACCGATGTTTGGATGGTTGAGAGTTTTCATGATGCGTACCTCTCGAAACAGCTGAAGGGGAGACAAAGAACAATTAAAATAATACAATAAATAAGCATAATCTGTTAAACTACAGTGCACCCTTCAGTTAAAAGCAGTTTGTGTAACCCAGGAAGTGGAATAAAATCAATCATTTCATAAACATTCATGCTTTTGTCACCTTTTCACGCTTTAGCTTAGAGGTTATAGCTTGTGCAGTACTTTTTCTCCATTATAGACACACTAATGCAGTGTTTCCCAAAGTTGGGGTCGGGACCCAAAGTGAGGTCCCGAAACATCAAGGTGGGGTCCTGAAAAGATTTTCTGAATTGATTATATTTTTGCCTTAGTTGTTACAAAGGAGTGAGGTTAGTGTATTTAAAATGGATAAATGTAGTATAAAAATATTGTTACTATGCCCATGTTTTGTTGACCTGATACAAATGTTTATCATCCAAAAATAGTTGGGGGCACAGGTCTCTGCTACTGTTATTTTGTGGGTCAAAAGCTGAAAAGTTTGGGAACCAGTGCACTTTGGTTCCCAAAGTTGGGCTTGGGACCCAATTATGGGTCATGAAGCACCTTGGATAATCTCCAGAAATCAATTTAAAGGGTAATAAAATAATTGCTGATGTAATATTTTCCCTATAATTATTACAAAAACACAAAATAAATAAAAATAAGTATTTATATTTGTGTATAAGCTGTGTAGATTGTCAAAAAACCTGTGTTTTTAGGGTGATTAAAGAAGTTCATGTACTCAGACCAGTAATATTTGGGGGTCACAAGTTTTTGCCATGGATATTTTGTGGGTCAGAAGACAAAAAGTTTGGGAACCACTGCACTAATGGACCAATGAAAGCATCCGGGCTGTGTTTAGCCCAAGGACACTTTGTCAAGCTGACTGAGGGAGTCAGGGATTAAACCACTGACCTTCCATTGGCAGACAACCAATGGCGCCACGCCTGCTGAAAACATCAAATTATTTTTAATAATGGTTCAAGTCATCTGTCGAAATGTGAAAGACAGGAAGTAATGACACAAAACATAAAATGTCCTGTCGCACCAGGGTTCTAATACTGTCCATAAAGACAATCTCAGCCTAATTTATTCATTTCACTTAAAAACAAAACAAATTTTATGTACAACAAAAAATACAAATTACAAATAAAATGAAAGGCAGCAGAAAGAAGAAAAAATCTTATATCTGCTCTTATTTTCCAAAAAATAAATTCAAACTATAATAATCTTCAAGTGACACAAACAAAACAAAAACTACAGCTCAACAACAGCTTATACAACTTCACATTTCTTTAACAAACTAACTTTTATCTTTTTCTTAAACAAATTCATTGAATCAGCATGTTTAAAATCCTTTTTCCAGATTATTACACAATCTTATTTCTTGGACTGAAATGCACTGGTCTGACTCTACAAATCTCAACACCATCTCTAAATGGAACATTGATAGTTCTATACAGTTAGTTTTACCAAAATTTAATGATAATTAATTAAGTTGAAACCAAGTTTATATATCCACAAATTTTGTTTGCATCATCTCCAACATCCGTTATATATCTTTACCCAAACATATAAATGTGGTATCATCTGCAAATAAAACACCTGAAAAGCTGTTTACCAAATTTTACCCCATTTACCAAGACACTCACATATGAAATAAATAACTTTGGACCGAGTACAGAGCCCTGAGGAACTCCCCATATGACGTTACAGAGTTCAGATCTTACATCATTCATTTGTACATCATTGCATTTGTTATTTAGTTGAGCACAACCTCAGGACTATCTTTAGACTCTTCTTTCCTCTTTAGTTGTGTGCAATTTGTTGTCATTTTAACAAACACATTTTGCAACTAACTAGGTGAACTGGCAACAAAAATCAACTCCCTCAAGACCTCGGATCACCAAAGACAGGTTCCCGTTGATGATGCCTTGACCCGCTCTCTGGGGTGTTCTTCTCTTCCTGTCCCCCCACCAACTTCCTCATCCATCACCAAGCTCCAAACTGCTGCCTCATCCTGTCATTCAATTAAAGTAATGAATCTGTCTCTAAACTCCATTAAAAAAATTTAGAGGGAATGAGTCAGAGCCAAACAGACAGAAATTTTGCAACAGGAATTGATTCGGGTAAAAAAAAAAAGGAA